TGGAAACCTTATGTGAAACGTATCCCCAAAATGATTGATACACATACTTATAGATGGTTTGGATCGTCTTAAGATTTAAAGGTTTTTAATAAAGAAAATTTTTTTATTACAGGTTTTTTGTTGCACTTGCAACTGAAAATGGGTAAGCTACTTTCCTCCATCCCTGCAATATAAAACATGTAAAGTATATCGTTTTGTAAGTTCGGATATTTCAAATTCTATAAAAGAGTATATAAAAAAAACGTGACTTATTTTGTGTTCTAAGATCACATATTCCTATATATGTAAATACGTAAATTTAATACTTATTATAATTGGTGGGTTGTGATGCTTCAACTTTTTGAATTTCGCGCAGTTTAGGTTTTCTTCAACTACACGCGGGAAATAAAATATTAGAGATATTTCGAATTTTTGAAAACCTTACGTGAAACGTATCCCCAAAATGATTGATACACATACTTATAGATGGTTTGGATCGTCTTAAGATTTAAAGGTTTTTAATAAAGAAAATTTTTTTATTAGAGGTTTTTTGTTGCACTTGCAACTGAAAATGGGTAAGCTACTTTCCTCCATCCCTGCAATATAAAACATGTAAAGTATATCGTTTTGTAAGTTCGGATATTTCAAATTCTATAAAAGAGTATATAAAAAAACGTGACTTATTTTGTGTTCTAAGATCACATATTCCTATATATGTAAATACGTAAATTTAATACTTATTATAATTGGTGGGTTGTGATGCTTCAACTTTTTGAATTTCGCGCAGTTTAGGTTTTCTTCAACTACACGCGGGAAATAAAATATTAGAGATATTTCGAATTTTTGAAAACCTTATGTGAAACGTATCCCCAAAATGATTGATACACATACTTATAGATGGTTTGGATCGTCTTAAGATTTAAAGGTTTTTAATAAAGAAAATTTTTTTATTAGAGGTTTTTTGTTGCACTTGCAACTGAAAATGGGTAAGCTACTTTCCTCCATCCCTGCAATATAAAACATGTAAAGTATATCGTTTTGTAAGTTCGGATATTTCAAATTCTATAAAAGAGTATATAAAAAAACGTGACTTATTTTGTGTTCTAAGATCACATATTCCTATATATGTAAATACGTAAATTTAATACTTATTATAATTGGTGGGTTGTGATGCTTCAACTTTTTGAATTTCGCGCAGTTTAGGTTTTCTTCAACTAAACGTGGGAAATAAAATATTAGAGATATTTCGAATTTTTGGAAACCTTATGTGAAACGTATCCCCAAAATGATTGATACACATACTTATAGATGGTTTGGATCGTCTTAAGATTTAAAGGTTTTTAATAAAGAAAATTTTTTTATTACAGGTTTTTTGTTGCACTTGCAACTGAAAATGGGTAAGCTACTTTCCTCCATCCCTGCAATATAAAACATGTAAAGTATATCGTTTTGTAAGTTCGGATATTTCAAATTCTATAAAAGAGTATATAAAAAAACGTGACTTATTTTGTGTTCTAAGATCACATATTCCTATATATGTAAATACGTAAATTTAATACTTATTATAATTGGTGGGTTGTGATGCTTCAACCCTTTGAATTTCCCGCAGTTTAGGTTTTCTTCAACTAAACGTGGGAAATAAAATATTAGAGATATTTCGAATTTTTGGAAACCTTATGTGAAACGTATCCCCAAAATGATTGATACACATACTTATAGATGGTTTGGATCGTCTTAAGATTTAAAGGTTTTTAATAAAGAAAATTTTTTTATTAGAGGTTTTTTGTTGCACTTGCAACTGAAAATGGGTAAGCTACTTTCCTCCATCCCTGCAATATAAAACATGTAAAGTATATCGTTTTGTAAGTTCGGATATTTCAAATTCTATAAAAGAGTATATAAAAAAACGTGACTTATTTTGTGTTCTAAGATCACATATTCCTATATATGTAAATACGTAAATTTAATACTTATTATAATTGGTGGGTTGTGATGCTTCAACCCTTTGAATTTCCCGCAGTTTAGGTTTTCTTCAACTAAACGTGGGAAATAAAATATTAGAGATATTTCGAATTTTTGGAAACCTTATGTGAAACGTATCCCCAAAATGATTGATACACATACTTATAGATGGTTTGGATCGTCTTAAGATTTAAAGGTTTTTAATAAAGAAAATTTTTTTATTACAGGTTTTTTGTTGCACTTGCAACTGAAAATGGGTAAGCTACTTTCCTCCATCCCTGCAATATAAAACATGTAAAGTATATCGTTTTGTAAGTTCGGATATTTCAAATTCTATAAAAGAGTATATAAAAAAACGTGACTTATTTTGTGTTCTAAGATCACATATTCCTATATATGTAAATACGTAAATTTAATACTTATTATAATTGGTGG